CCTTATGGGTTCATCAGAATGTAATTAAACTCAGAAAACAATTTGGGATTGACTTCCAGGAATGTGAAGAGGATGTCCTGGCTTTATTTAAGAAGATTGACAGATGCAGGCGAGCGAAGAGGCAAGAAGCAGAAGCAATAAATATGGTGACTCCTAAAAGGAAAGGCAGCCAGGAGTTAAAGGGCTTGGTTTTCGACATGAAGTTCAAAAGTTCTGGGGCAAGGAATAGGAGGAAAGAAATCTCAATCATTGATCTATGAATGTGAAAATCATTTCATGGAATGTGATGGGATTGAATCGTAGGAAGAAGAGAAGGGTGATAAGCAGCTTGATTCTTGACCGGAAAGCTGATGTATACTGTTTCCAAGAATCGAAAATAGAAGGGGATATAGAAGGGATTGTCAAAGAAATCTGGGGGGTCAGGGGTATAAAATATGGGCAATTGGAGGCTAGTGGCACTAGGGGTGGTATCCTAATGCTATGTGATAGTAAAGTTTGGAAAGGGGAGGTAGTAACCACGGGTGCTCACTCATTGACTTGCAAATTTGAGTCACATTCACAAGACTTCAATTGGCACATGACAGGAGTTTATTCCCCTAATTGCATCAGAGAAAGAAGGGAAGTGTGGTGGGAAATAGGGGGTACTAGAGGTCTGTTCACAACAGGGCCTTGGGTAGTTGCTGGAGACTTCAACACAATCAGATTCCCCTCTGAAAAGAGGAATTGCAGCAGAATTACCAAATCGATGACTGAATTTTCTAAATTCATAGAAGACATGGACTTGGTGGATCTTCCATTAGAAGGGGGCATCTATACATGGGCTAGAGGGAACAGTCAGGAGACCTTCTCAAAGATTGACATGTTCCTGGTTTCGATGGAGTGGAATGAGCGCTTTAAAAACATCAAACAGGAAATTCTTCCTGGAGTTTGTTCTGATCACACACCCTTAATGTTACAGTGTGGCAGCTTGGAGCACACTAAATCCTACTTCAAGTTCGAAAACTGGTGGTTGGAGATTGAAGGCTTTACTAACATAGTCCAGAGTTGGTGGTCATCCTTCATCTTTGAAGGAAGACCAGATTTCATCCTTGCTTGCAAACTAAAAGCCCTAAAAGGAAAATTGAGAGAATGGAGCTCGAATAGCTATGGCAACCTGGAGAGGGGGAAAAGCCTCATATTGAACCAAATTGCTGAGTTGGATGCTATCCACCAACAGAGGAACCTTAATGAGGAGGAGATGTCCAGGAGAGCAAATCTCTCCTTTGAATTCGAAGAATTTGCTACAAAGGAAGAAATAGCTTGGAAGCAAAGATCTAGGGCACTATGGCTCAAACAAGGAGACAGGAACACCAAGTTCTTCCAAAGAACTGCCAATGCACATAAAAGATTCAATAACATTAGAAAATTAGAGGTGGATGGGGAGAGTATTGAAGAACCAGTTGAGATCAAAAGGGAGATTATTGCTTTCTATCAGAAACTGTACTCTGAAACAGAAGTATGGAGACCTACCTACAACATGAACAATTGCCCCTCTATTTCTGAAGTTGAAGTACAGATACTCCAAAATGCTTTTGAGGAGAATGAAGTTTTAGAGTGCTTAAAGACTTGTGCAATAGACAAAGCTCCGAGGCCGGATGGGTACACTATGGGCTTTTTTATCAAATGCTGGAACGTGGTGAAATCAGACGTAATGGCTACTATCCAGAACTTTCATTCTCATGAGTTCTTTGAAAAGAGCTTCAATGCCATTTATGTGGCATTGATACCTAAGAAGAGTGGTATTAAGGAGTTACGGGATTTTAGGCCTATTAGTCTCATAGGCAACATTTATAAAGTGATCTCCAAGTTACTCACTGAAAGATTGAAAAGGGTGATGCACAAATTGGTAGACTCACAGCAAATGGCATTTATTAAAGGAAGACAAATCACAGATGCAGTTTTGATTGCAAATAAATGTGTAGATTCCAGACTCAAGGAGAAGAGACCAGGAATTATGTGCAAGTTAGATATTGAAAAGGCATTTGACCATGTCAATTGGGAATTTTTGCTTGAAACTCTCCAGAAAATGGGTTTTGGTAGGAAATGGATCAACTGGATCGGATTCTGTATAACAACTGTCAGGTTCTCCATCTTGATCAATGGAGCTCCTGAAGGCTTTTTTCCTTCGGAAAAGGGCTTGAGACAGGGCGGTCCCTTATCTCCTTTCTTATTCATATTTGCCATGGAAGGGTTAAACAATATGTTAAAAACATCACAAGGCAATGGATAGATTAAGGGCTTCAATGTGGCAAGGAACTAAACCGACAGGTTGGAGGTTACTCATGTCTAATATGCAGATGATGCCCTCATTTTCTGTGATGCTGATGAGATCCAAGTAAAGTATTTAAGAGTGATTCTTATAGTTTTCGAAGCCATTTCTGGGCTTCACATCAACTGAGGAAAAGTCAGATCTTCCCCGTTAATGAGGTATCCAATATTCAGTTGCTGGCAGGAATTCTGCGAGGTGAAATTGGCTCTATCCCAACCACTTATTTGGGGATGCCTCTGGGAGCTAAGAGCAAGTCCAAGGATATCTGGAATGGAGTCCTGGAAAAATGTGAGAAAAAGCTAACAAGATGGAAATCAAACTACATTTCATTGGGTAGTAGATTGGTCCTCATTAACTATGTGCTAGATGCTCGCCCCACATATATGTTGTCCCTATTTCCTATACCTGCCAATGTAGAGAAAAGACTAGATACCTTGAGAAAAAACTTCCTCTGGCATAGAAACAAAGAGAGGAAGGGCTTTCATCCGGTCAAATGGAAAATTTTGACCCTCAGCAAAAAGCTTCAGGATTGCACGCTTGAATCACACATAAATTGCTTGCAAAATTGCCTTGCTATTTTACTCTCAATTCACGTTTAACTTCTGCTTATGTGCATTACCTGTAAAAGAGAACAACACTGATATTTATGGAGTTAGTAAGTAGAGATTGACTAGAATGCAGATGCTACTCTTCCTTGGTGGTGGAAGAGTTCTAGTTGGTCTCATCCTCTAACTCTATCCATCTCTTAAACCGTGTTCTCTTTATGTAAGGAGTCTTTCTCCTTATCCAATATGCAACCTTTTCGATCAGGATCGGGAGATATCATTTCTGGTAAGTTAGGTTTATCTCCTTCACGTGCAGCTCACATGCTTGAGTTGATCATCTCTGTGGTTCACTAGGATGGACCTGGTCCATGTCTGAGTTCCTTTGTCAATCTTCAAAACTCTCCTTTACTTGGGCCAACAAATTCTCCCTTTTTTGTATATGGAAAGGAAGGATTCTGGATGACTAAGCAGGTACTTATGGTACCAGCTTGTGGAGAACAATAAGGAACCTGTGGCCAAATTTTGCTGACAAGCTTCAATTCAAAGTAAGGGATGGTAGGAAAACTCTTTTTTGGGAAGATAACTGGTTAGGAATTGGTTGTCTTATGAATCTTTTTCCAGACGTTTATGCCCTGAATTAACAACATAGAGCTACATTATATGAACTTCGGGGGGCACAGGCATGGAATCTCACTTTCAGAAGACCTTTACATGATTGGGAGCTGTCCAGAATAATACCTTTTTAACACGCTGGAGCTATGCAACGGACTGCACGAGGGAGAAGATACACTTAGCTGGAGCCAAAACAGCATTAGGGTGTACACAGTCAGCTCAGCCTACAAGTATCTAAACCAAAATGGTGGTCAAGTCAATCTATGGCCTTGGAAACTCATCTGGAGGGTCAAGACACCATACAAAGTGGCGTGTTTTTCTTGGCTGGTAGTTAGAGAAGCTGTTTTAACACATGACAACCTGAGGAGAAGGGGAATACAAATACATGACAACCTGAGGAGAAGGGGAATACAAATCTGCTCGAAGTGTTACTTATGTGGCCAAGAGGTAGAGACAATCAGCCATCTGTTTCTACATTGTAGAGTGACTACTCAGTTGTGGGATTTATTCATCAATCTTAGGGGCATTAGATGGTCAATGCCAGGAAGAACAACTGAACTCTTGTCAAGCTGGAATGCAGGGGGGAAGTGTAATGCTTCAAACAAAGACGGATGGAAAATTGTCCCTGCAACTATTTGGTGGACAATATGGAAGGAGAGGAATTCAAGATGCTTCGAGGATACAATTAGCTCTATTCAGAAAATTAAGATGAATTGTATTCTTCTTTTTTGTTTTTGGTGTAAAGCAGAATATAGTAACGACTTAGAGTCGATTTTACAAGTCCTAGATTCCTTGTAAGAAGTGCAAGGATTGTAATAGGGAGCTTTGTAGGCTTTTGTAAACTCTTTCTTTTGGCTTCCAGCACAACCTTTGTGCTGAAGATTGATTAATACAAATATACATGTTACATTGTCAAAAAAAAAAAAAAAAAGACAGAAGAAGCACTATCAAGAAATTGAAAATCTCTTTTGGTGTAAACAAGACTCTGGAAGATCCAGAATCCATTGTTGAAGTTTTAGGAACCTTATACTACAGTAGGGAATCTGGATCTTCCTATCCCACTTTTTTGTAAATTTGGGTGACTGTTTTCCCGTAATGCAGTCTATATATATACAAAACTTGTTACTTTTTTTAAAAAAAAGCTTTTCAATTCTTAATGTAGCTTATTATGTTATGAACATGGCAGTACACTGTAAGTTGTAATAATAACGTAGAAGCTTATTATATTTTTGTTAATTGTAATATGCTAGCACAGTTTATAACTAATATAGTAGTTTATCAAAGAGGTGATTGTACTTTGCTAAACTGTATTTTTTTTTT